TAGACACATCACAATTTAAATAAGTGGTGTACTGTATGCCAAATATAAACAAAAAATTGAATTGAACATGTAAAAACCCGATACAAAAATATTCCTAGACGATAAATAGTAGTACAACTACTGAATAAATACTGTATTTACGAATAATGATGATCCAAAGTGAGACTGTGTGCTTGTCCGCGAGTGGGGAGGAGTGGTGCAGCGGTTAGCGCGCTGCTCTGCCAACTTGGCGAGCCAAGTTCGATTCCCGGTCATGGCCAACAACACCAGTGATGATTATCTGAACTGGTCATGGGTCTCTCCTAAGTCATCTCAGCCTTACATGAATACCTGGTGCGATGTGTAAACATTTCCACCCACCCCCTCGTGTGCCATGCCGGCAACAGTATGTTGAGGCTTTTCAGGGGTATATTGTCAATCATCATGATTATGGACATCAGTGGCGGCTGGTGATATTTATTTTTTGGGGGGCGCATTTTTTTTATTTTATTGAGGGGGGCAAATAAATATAAAGCAGTACCAAAAACCATTTTGACTACTTGAATATAAATTTTGATGATCTTTATTTACATTTCAGACCAAAAGAAGTACCAAAAAGCATGTTTCCTACTTGAACATAAATGTTTCTCTTTTATATACATTTCAGACCAAAGTACCAAAAAGCATGTTTCCTACTTGAACATAAATTTTGCTCTTCTTTCTTTCTAGCCAGCAAATTTTTCAACTACTCTCTGATTAAAGTCAGTCATCTCCGTAACAAGTCTCTTTTCCATGGACAGCAATGCCAGTGCATTCAGCCTCTCCTGGGTCATGGTGTTTCTGAGAAAAGTTTTTATTCGTTTCAAGGTTGAGAAGCACCTCTCAGCTTCAGCCGTGGTCATGGGTGTGGTAATGATAACTTTTAGGAGAGTCACAATTTCGGAAAAGACTTCTTCGAGATTATTCTCCATAAACAGCTGGAGTAGGTCCACAGCACCACGGCAGGCTCTGAACTCTTCCTTGCTGTAGATGAGACTGAGCTCCGTCTTCAGCTTGCTTCCACTGAGCATCTGGTACGCTTTCATGGTGCTGCTCAATGCATCTTCAGGAAAGGTATCCTTGTACTCATCAAACCTGTCCCCCTGCAACAAGGTGGCACAGACAAGGTGGTCTGTGAAGGAGAAACGCTCCCTAGTGTGTCCCAGGATTGTGTCACAGACCTATAGAGATAATTAAACAAATAGATATATAAATGTAAGGTAGTAGCCTGGAGTAGACCACTAATTGTCACAGTTGCAATTACTTTCAAAAGAAAAATAGAGCCATTTGAGTTTTTGTCCCATACAAGACTGTAGTTTTTGGTGGCTTCAAATTTCATTTGATCATTTATTTTTATGTTGCCAATTTATTATTTTTGGGATGCTATTGTATATTAAAATTAAGATTTTTGTTAGGATTTATACCAAACTAAAAATGTTTTCTTGAGTCTGTAGAATATGATATGTGGGCAGGACATCTCTGCAGCACAACAATAATTAAAATGGTATTTTGACTGATTTCTATAACAAACTCACCTCTGCTGCAATCCTTTCACGGTCTTCCGAACTGAGCGCCCGGCGCCTCTTTGTTGGACGAGAACCACTGCTTTGCTCACCAATGGAGTGAAGAGAGTTTCTGTAAAGGACAAAGATAATTTATTATAATTTTGGCAAAGGATAAAGAGAGTTAAAAATGAAAGAGAAAGCAAATAATGATCATATTACAGGAATAAAGTTACCTGATCTTTTGTATTTCTTGGTGGAGCTGTTGGATGCTCACTTTGATATGGACTGAATCAATGTTCTTTTTCTGGAGCTTGGCATAGAGGAAGTCTACATGTGGCATGATGTGGTGATAAAGTTCCAGAAAGAACTTAAAATCCTCATCCTCCAGTAGCATGGCCAGGGCTCCTGCTTCTCTGACAGTATTGCGGTCGAAGTCACCTGAGTCTTGTATGCTCTCAAAACAGTGAATGAGATCCTCTCTGTGCTCAAAAACAGTATTAATGGCACGGCTATGAAAGTTCCATCTGATGTTGCTGGATCTTGGCAGTCTATGGGCAACCACTTTATCCAGAAAACATGTCCGCTTGGGTGACTTAGAAAAAAAGCTGGCAAATCCACCAATGTTAGAAAAAAATATTCTCGTCTTGGATATGTGAGACGTGGCCTGTTGCATTATCAGGTTGAGCTGATGTGCGTAGCAGTGGATGTAGTGGGCATTTGGGTACACATCTTGTATTTTTCTCTGAACACCTGCAGTGGCACCCCTCATCACGCTGGCCCCATCATATGCCTGGCAGATGAGCTTACTTTTCTGATCCTTAGGAAGGATAGAAGCAAGACGCTCTTTTAGTGCAGTAGCAATGGACTCAGCTGTAGCTGACTGCAGAGGGATGAACTCAAAAAATCTTTCCTGCACGTTATTTTTGTCGTCGATGTAGCGCAGCACAAGCACAAGTTGGGACTGTGTGGCAATATCTGTTGTTTCATCTGCCTGGATTGATAAAAAACTACTTGTCTGGACTTCTTTGATTATTTCTTCTCTTGTAACAGACAACATACAGTCCAGTAGCTCGTTCTGTATAGTTTTCGACGTTCCCTTAAATACAGTAGCACTGTCAAGGTGCTCTTTCAATGCTCCATCAAGAGAGGCAACAAAATCCACCAACCCGCGAAATATACCGGGGTTATCTGAGCTCTCACTCTCATCATGGCCACGTAACGCCAACTCAAATGCTCCACAAAATTTCACACAGTCTATTATCCTGGACAGTATGTGTCGATTTTTTGTCACCTCTTCGTTGTGCCTTCTAATGCCAATCCTGTAGCCTTCATCTAGTTGTTCAGCAATGCTAACTCTGCCCAAAAACGTTAGTTTCATGCTATTATCAATATGGCTGCGGCTACTTTCATGACGTTTGCATTTGTCAGAGAGATGTTTGAGGTCTCTTACCCCCGTCGTTGTCCACAAAACTTCAGTGCCGACACTTTGAAATAAAAGACAGGGAAAACAAAAAAGAGAATTGCTAACATCACATCCAGCCAGCCACCACCGTTTCTCATAACAAGCGCGGGTGAAGCTTCGTGTGTAGCTTCGTCCTCTGTCACTGGCCTGCTGCTGGATTTGTAAATCGGGTTGGTCCGGTCCGAGATCCTTTATCTTTTTTATTTCTTCCAGCGAAAGCCTTGTGAAAGGGTTTTTTTGTAAATAAATAACAGAATTTGGATGAACTGCTGCCATTGTTTACACAAAAAATTTGATCAGCCTAGCAAGTGTCGAAGTGGTGTCGCCTGCGCACTCGCAGTAGTGGCCCAGAGCGTAAAGTTGAATGACAGGTGACGAGAACCAATCAGATTGGATAAAATAACATGTATCCAATTCTGATTGGCCAGGGACGCAACGACTTGCGCCCTGAGGAGAATCTTTAAGAAACCAATTAGAGACCAGCTTCAGGTCACATGCTGTCCGAAAATTTAAAGTCTCACATAGACATCCATTTGTCCGGCGTCCCGCATGAAACACATTGAAAAACATAGAAAATAGTTGACCGATTAAAGCCAGTTTTTATTAAATGCTGATGCTTTTCTTACTACCAGCCGGCACATCGTATGAAAAAAATATTTTATTTATGTATTTTTATATAATTTTTGTATATGTATATTTCTTGAATCTTGATGGGGGCGGCGCCCCAGCGCCCTCTATTGACAAGCCGCCACTGATGGACATGCTTGTTGTTGCAGGTAATATTACTGTTATAATTATATGATTATAGTGTTAATATGAACATGATTGTGTTTCCTGCTACTGCCAATGTTTTTCTGCAAAAATATTAGTAGCAATATTTTTTGCATTACGAGTACGATATCACATACCCTAAATTACTGGAAATATGTTGAAACTGTGTACGAGTGTGTGGTTGTTCCTGAAATGGGGAGTGGTGGTATAGTCGTTAGCGCGCCGCGCTAGGAACCCAGTGACCCGAGTTCGATTCGCGGCCAACAATAGTTACAATTGTCTGAACTGGTCAAGGGCCTCCGCTAGGTTGATTCACCATAAAATTAGTTCCTGGTGAATTGTGTAGACATCGCCACCCCCTCGTGTGCCGTGCAGGCCTTCAGAGGTCCTCGTTAACAGCACTTGCCCCAACAGTGTTACTGGGGGTCTTTGTCCGCCAGATGCTTGCACGGCAAAGGTTAAGGTGCCACTGACTGACTTGCATCCATTGCCCGCCCTTCACCACGATATCAGTCAATAATACAGTACTTACGTGTAGAGTATAGCCGTGAAAGTCCAAAGAGCTAACCTCCGCGATAGATAAATTAGTACACTAAGATATTGCCCGCAATAGATCGAAACCGCGGACGATAAAACTGCGAAATTCAAGGGTCCACCGTATACGAAAACAGATTACACAAAGAGCCCCCGTATAATATTAGCAGACTGTTGGAGCAAGTTTTATTATTGAGCAGCAGCGACCATGAAGGCTGCCAGGGCACACGAGGGGGTGGGTGACCAGCACAATGCCCGGCCGCCTTTTTCTCCTCAGTCGCGATGTTTACTACACACTGCACTAGGTACTCCCTTGAGACTTAGTTGACCTAGGGGAGAAGGCCCAGGACCGGTTCAGATAATTGCAACCACTCGTGGTGGTGTTGGTGGCAACCGTGAGCAGGAATAAAACTCGCATCTCTGCCGGGTTCATAGTCCAGTGGTAATTGCACAGACGCCTATGCTCTAAGCTGTGGAAGAATGGGATTATCTCTCAATACTCATCTCACAACAAAGCCATCGCGGTTGAGTCTCTGATTTGTATTAACAAAAAACAAGCTCTTTTATTTAGATCAGTGTTTTTTTTTAAGGAATATATTCCTTCGATAAATGATCATTTTAAGCTGAATCTAGAGAAGTGTGTGCGGTATCCATGTACAACTTGACGTACAGTATTTGTTTATCTAGGGCACAGGCTAACATTCTAGGGTGTGTCTCGTGATGCCAATAACATTGAAAGCATTTTAGGTTTTTTACTTCCTTCTTTACTCTCGCTATAAGAGTTCCTGGTCCAGCGTCTATCTGAACCACACAGCGAGTGATCCGAGTGAAGCACATAACTCATGGCAAGTGCGAATCCCAGTGAGAGTGTGGATAGTGAGCTGAGCTGCTCCATCTGCCTGGACACGTTCGTCTGCCCTTCCACGCTGAGCTGTGGACACTCGTACTGCATCCAGTGTCTGGAGGCCGCCTGGGAGACAGCGAGCAGCTTCCGCTGCCCGCAGTGCCGAGCAGCCTTCCCTGTCCGACCCCTGCTGAGGAGGAACGTGGCCCTCGCCAACCTGGCGGAGCAGCTCAGAGCTGAAGATGTGATGACCACGGGCGTCGTGTGTGACCACTGCAGAAACGGACAGACTCCTGCAGTGAGGACCTGCTTGAGATGTGAGATGTCTTACTGTGCGACGCACTTGAGGCCACACGTGGAGAATCCCAGGCTAAGAGACCACCTCCTGGTGGATCCCATCGCTAACCTGGGGGAACGACGGTGCCGGCAGCACAGACAGGACCTCATTCTTTACTGTCAACAGGATGAGAGCCTGGTCTGCACATTTTGCACCATGGCTGGGGAACATAGAGGGCATGAGGTCATTACAGTGGAAAATGCTCAATGGTCAAAACAGGTGAGATATAAATCGCTGCTGTAACCCAATATCCTACAGTGTGACTGCAGCATTCTCGGTGTGTATTAAGTGCGAAAGTCTGTATATTATCATTTAGATTTACATATTATGAGGTAACTCATATTTTATTTTGAGGGAACTCATATTTTGCCAGTATTGTGACGTTCAATCAATTCAATGTGGGCAATACGGATTGTAAAACTGGCACACAATAGAGAGCAGAGACACGGAAGATGAGAATGTTGATTTGAATGGATGTAAAAGCAGGGTATTACCTGCTTTATTTATAAGACAAAGCACTTCGTGGCATAGGTAGCAGCGATGTAAAATGCAATTCACAGGATAAGATTTATACATGTGATTATCAATGATAGGTGGAGAGAAATTTGGAGTAATTTGAGATTCTTCAAAAGTGCTTTGACCATGGACTTAAAGGAGGCAAATGGAAGACCATTTCAGTGCGAGAAACAAGGCCGTCAGACAGGATTTGATTGTCAATAGAGCAGATTTAGATTTGTCTCGAAAATTACAACTTGCCGCTAATATAAACGCTGTGTGTTACATTCTTTGACAGAACATTGGCTTGTGGTTGAACGTTGCCACGGTGAAGCTTGGCCAACCACCAGAGTGATAATTGTTTTTTAACCCTTCTATCTGGCAACAAAACTGACACCTTTTTACAAGGAGTCATGTTTGCATAGACCACAATACCTGCAGTCATAATGGAAACAAAAAACAACTCTGATAATGTGCACTGTCCTTGAAGTTGATTGGTCCACACCCGAGACAGCTTTCCTTAGAGCCTAGTCTCACATGGGTTGGACCAGATGACGCCAAAAGGCGCCCAGATGACGCCAAAAGGCGCCATCTGGTCCAACCCATGTGAGACTAGGCTCTAAGGAAAGCTGTCTCGGGTGTGGACCATAGAGCCTAGTCTCACATGGGTTGGACCAGATGGCGCCTTTTGGCGTCATCTGGGCGCCTTTTGGCGTCATCTGGTCCAACCCATGTGAGACTAGGCTCTAAGGAAAGCTGTCTCGGGTGTGGACCAATCAACTTCAAGGACAGTGCACATTATCAGAGTTGTGTTTTTTGTTTGCATTATGACTGCAGGTATTGTGGTCTATGCAAACATGACTCCTTGTAAAAAGGTGTCAGTTTTGTTGCCAGATAGAAGGGTAAAAAACCCATTATCATATTTTTACTAGCAAATGAGGTTCCAATGGTGTAACCACCAGAGTGTTTAGCCGTCAGGCTATTGACAGGTGAAATGGAGCAACACAGTGCGGGATTAAGGCCCCATAGCCTGCAGACTGGGTGGGACTTGGCGTCGGCAGTTTCATGTATAGAGCACTTACTCCTGCCAATGCCAAGCCGTACCAGAGGCAATCACATGGGTACAGATTGCATTGTGAAATCTGAGTACTTGGGTTTAATTTTACAGAAAGTTAAGTTAAACATCCCAATAAATTTCGATTTAAAGTTTTCGTGACTGCAGGGATTCATCTTCTTGGTTCTTTCGGTAAAGTCACGTTGAAGGGAAATAATAAAATAGATTTTTTTTATTATTCTTTTATTATTTCCCTTCTACATCCCAATAAAGGCTATTCACGTCAATAATCTTCGCCATCATTATGAATATGGTTGTGGTTGCTGTTTGCGTTGTTGCTGGTAATATTCCTCATATCGTTATCCGATTATAGTGTTAATATTGACGTTATTGGGTTTCCTGTTGCTGACAATATTATTCTGAATATATTTATTCATATCGATATTCTTAGAAATACTCGTACCACATTTATAAAATACTAGCGGGAAGTACCCGGCGTTGCCCGGGTCTTAAAAATATTTCAAAACTACTCTTAAAGATCTAACAGCAGTGCGTACTGACTGTGGTGGTACCTGCTATGATTACAGCAGTGCATACTGTGGTGGTACCTGCTATGATAACAGCAGTGCATATCGACTGTGGTGGTACCTGCTATGATTACAGCAGTGCATAATGACTGTGGTGGTACCTGCTACGATTACCCCCAGCCACAATCTCCCCGGCCGCTCTGCAGTAATATCTACGGCCTATAGTGGTAGCATCCAGCGACTGTATAGTTGTAATAACTGCACGCATCGGGGTGGGGGGGACATCACACAGTGAAGAATTAACGTCAACGTTTAGTGTATTTTTATAGCACACAGTGAAGAATTAACGTCAGCGTTTAGTGTATTTTTATAGCATTTTTAACGCAAAAGAAAATGTCCCCCTCACTCCCACCGAAGGCGTGCGACTTGGAATGAACTGTCCGACCCACCAAAGGCGCGTGAGTTGGTATGGTCGTGCAGGCGTCATAAATAAATAAATAAAAGGGAAGCGCACAAAATCGGTAATTACACTAATTTTTAGTTTACGGATGTGAAAAAGGAATAGGGCTTGCTCACCGCGGGGCTTACGGCATGGTACCTAGCTATTTTCTTTTCACATAAACCCCACCGTTGGATATCCAAGCGCGCGACCACACACAAACCCACACACAAACCCACACACAATTAGTTTTTTTTTATATATAGAAGATAGATGTTTAACCTGTGTATGAGGGTGTGGTTGTTCCTGCATTGGACAGCGGTGGTGTAGTGGTTAGAGCACTGTGCTATGAACATCATCACATGGCTCTCCCTACCCTGAGTCCTGTCCAACTTGTCCGAACACACCCAAGCAGCAGCCCTACCAGCATCAGAGCTGTCTGTACTCCTGATACCACTCTTGAACGTAGGTTGGTTTTGTTTAAGATTTAGGATTTAAGTTTTGGTGTTTGCCGCACCTTCATGCAAAGTGTGTGCTGTAGATATCTCGGGAGTTATGGTTATTGGTTACCCGAGATTACATTGTTGGGAAAAAAACTGGAAAAAACACGAGCATGCGAGTTGGCACCCCTTAATAAACCAGCCACCTACTTGAGACACGACTGTTGTGATGCCTCCTAAAGACCACCTCGCAGCCTGGGAGGTTGGACGTTTCAAAAGAGCGATGATTATCTCTGGGTGATCCAGGAAACCTGCCTACAAGGCTTTGAGTTAAAGACATGTGCCAGATGATGAAAATGATGGTAATACTAAACATTGCGTGTTTATCTCCCCCATGTAAAGGAGGTGTTTAGACTCGAGAAGACGATGAGAGAGGAGAAGAAGACTACAGCAGAATCACGGACACAGCAGCTCAAGGGCGCCTACAAGCGTGTGCAGGTACAGAAATACACACATACACATGCATGTACAGAGACACAGACGCGCAGGTACAGAGAGGCAGGTATTGTAGCTACAGAGGCACATGCACCTACAGGTATACAGAGAGATACAGACACCTACAGGTATAAATAGACAGGTGCAGATACAGAAAGATACACAGACACGTGCAGGCACAGAGAGAGAGAGAGACACACACACACAGACTCATGCAAGTATAGAGGCACAGACCCAATGACACGTAGATACAGAGAGATACACAGACGCATGCAGTTACAAACAGAGACACAAACAATACAGATACACAGAGAGACAGTGTAACATGTAGTAGGCTTTTGCCGTCAATATTTTCCAGCCAATTAGTAAGGTTTGTCACTTAAACAAAAAATGCCAATTAGTTACTAGTTCAGCACATCGGTATGTTAGAAAGTACACCCAAAAAAATTACAATTTGAGTATGACGTTTCACTGGTCGGGTGATGGCGGGTTTAACGAAATATTTACATTTACACGATCTAACCAAAAGAAAACCCTCTATTATGGACACAGAGAGATTGGCTTAAGACTGCCCATGAATAATTTATTTGAATCTCCTTTCATGCATTGAATTTCTCCACGTTCTAAAAAAATGTCACCTGCCTCTCTGTATGAAGTTAGGAGACATGGCTGTATCGAGGTTCTTTATGAAGTCACATCGCACTGTGTTGTGTGCTGTTTCAAAGCGCATCATGGTGTCTCTGCATAGGAGTCACTGAATGGAACCAAAGAGCGGATCAACAGAGAATTTAAGTGCAGGAGGGAGCAGCTGAGGGAGGAGGAGAGGGAGGCGCTGGAGCGCGTGGACGAGGAGGGCCGCTCTGTGCTGTCCCGCATCCAGGCGACCATCGCTCGCTATGAGAGCAGAGCACAGGATCTGGAGCAGGAGATCAACCAGCTGCTCGCCGCCCTCACCGTGCAGGACCCGCTTTCCTTCCTACAGGTGGCCCGACTTCCATTCACTCACGGCCTTGGTTTATCAGAGGGTTCATCTACAACCAGAAAAGGGTCACCACTCTGCGAGACGTTAACATTGTAGGCAATTTAATTTCAAAGTTTTTCGATCTGGGTGGAATATGTGGTGTCCAGAAATAGACGTAAGTTTGCTTCCATGTGACAATCAGATTTGGACTTGTTCAATACAACCTCACCATAGTCAAAACTACAATATGTCACTTGGTAAACATTATTTAACCATTAATTTAGGTGCTAGACCTGTAACGAGTGGTTTTATCATTTGTAGAGGTCCGTCCGTGTCCAGTAAAACAAACTCTTTTTTTCACCATTCTCCAATTGCAGTTACTTGATCATTTCGTGATGGGGCATCTGTTTAGGATGTCAATGTAATGTAAATTGTGGGTTTGTGTTTTTCAGAATCCCGTGCATGAGAATTTCAGGTCAGTACCAACCCAGACTCAAACTCGAGCTCTGTCTGCCACCTGGTGGACAAATCAGTGAATGGTCGTGATGTGCTTCCGAATAAATTCCATTGTATGCAGCCTGTACAGGTCGTCCCGATATGTTGTTTCACACTCACGTCACCGACTTGAGGAATACAACGTAAAATGTCCCCGCACATACGTCGTTTGACTGAGGTGCATAGCAGTTAGCACGCCGCTCTACGAGCCCGGCGATCCGAGTTCAATTCCTGCTCACGACCAACAACCAGTGACGACGATTATGTTTTTTTCATTTTTGACTCGGCTCAGCTGAACTCTAACCTGGGAGGAGGGGGGGGGACTGTAAAACTCGCGCATGCGCCGCCTTGTTCTCAGTCCCATCGTGTACTCTCGCGTGCGTTGTGAGTGCTCATTGTAATCGGCGTGGACTTTCGCAAAATATCGTTGCACAACTCATCCACTCCTCAAAGTAAGATTTTTTTTTAATTATAGGTTAAGGTAAATCATTTTTTTAAATGCTGTTTAAGATTCTGTGCTCTTTTCCACAAATGTTTTTTTCTGTTTGAGTCATTGCTTAAACAATTCACATACGTTTTCTATTAAAAAAGGGAAAATGTTTTAAAGTGTACAGGGCTGCTTCGCAATGCTCGGTAAATGGTGTTCAATTAAATGTTTGATAAGTGTAAATTATGTTTAAAGGTTCTTGAACTCAGAATTGGTTAGAAATGTGTACATTTTGTTGTACGCTGTAGTACATGTACAGTACATGCACAGTACCTGGATTTGTCCCATGTAATGTAGGTATTTTGGTTGCTAGTTACGAAACACAACATTTCCCTAAGTTATGATCCCTTCCCTACCTTATTCCATTGTTTTTTAACGGGAAAAATTGATCTGCTTTGCATCGCATAGGTCCCTACCCTCCCTTCTGCCATTTGCATTCCTCTGGGGAAAAAGTTCTCGTTATACATCGTTTCGTTATAAGTCGCAACTTTCCAGTCCCATCACCGACGTATATCGGGGATGCCCTGTATATTATCTTTGTTACCTTTTGAAGCAAAGGTAATTAGTTAATCTCTTAATTAACTGTCAATCATCCAGATCAAATTCATACCATAAATACATTTTGTACATTACCATTTGCCGAATCAAATCCAGACTGAAAATATTAACCATGGCCACGAGTAAATAACTTCACAATTATTCTTAATCCAAATGTTTGGTCAGAAACGGACAGTTATTGAGGACTTTCAGTGAGACTTCTTAAGCAGCCAAGACTCCATGTTCAGTAATCGCAGTTTCAGTGCTGTGGAGCCAGAGCGAGCTGTCTGAAGGAGGGAAGGTAAAGAATGACCCTGATTCCTTAAGGAACCTCATCAGAGACACGGACCCTCCTCAGACTCTGTGTGCCTCGTATTGCGTGTGTAGAAGGACATGACTTCTCATTAGACTTTGTGTGTTTCGTGCTGTTGAGTGGAGAGAGATGGACCCTCACTGGACTCTGTGGGTCCCGTGCTGTGCGACATGAGTTGAATTCCCGCTCGCGGCCAACACTAGTGACAATCATATTATCTGAACCGGTTCTGGGCCTCCCCTAGATCGACTCAGCCTCCAATGAGCACCTGGTGTAGTGTGTAAACATCGCCACCATGGAGACAAAGGCGGCCAGGCGTGGTGATGGCCACCCATCCCTTGTGTGCCGTACCAGCTTTCATAGGTGCTCTCTAATAGCACTTGCCCCAACAGTCTGTTAAGGCTATACTGGGAATATTTGTCTTTGTAGAGAAATAGACCCTCAGACTCTGTGTGTCCTGTGCTGTGAGTACAGGAGCTCAGTCTCTCAGGGGTCTCAGGATGACCCAGCCCCCATCTCCAGCTGTCTGAACCTCGCAAAAGCCATCTCAGTGGGAGGCGTCCAAACGAAGCTTCTGCCTTTTCTCGGTACGTACCTCTGCCACATTAGCCTTCGTTAGACTCCATTACAGACACTGGATTGCCTACAAATCCTACTTGTGTGCAGGGTGTCCTTTATTTTACCCAGGCTTGAGTGCATTAATTCAGCTTGTCCCTTTTGCAAGGGGGGCCTGCATAGATTCAGTTCATGAAACAGGCACAAAGGTGCTGGACAAAAAATAGTCAATAACATGAAGGGTCTCATTTATCAAGAGTTGCAAACAACAATGTGAAAATGGTTATTGAGAGCAAAAGGGCGAATTTGTAAGCCATGAATGAAGCACGTTCCAGTCCTGTCACGCTCATTTAGACACTGACGACCACGCGTTTTGTAGTGGGTACGAAGTTGGTTGAGGAAAGTGAATTCTTAGTTAGAATTTAGATGAACATGAACCACATACAAGTAACCTATCACACTAGTCTGCGTTAGTATTTGTGTACACATACTATTCCTCGGCAATATATGTGTGCATCATCATAATGCTCCATGGGCAGATATCCAGTAGGTGTCCACTGCCCATTTCGTATATTTTTTCCACTTTTTTCTGTCTTGTGCCAATATGGTCAAGTAGTACCATATCTTTCTAGCACCAATCTCTTATAACACCGTCGTCAAGCCATTCTCTCTTAGCTCTTCCTCTGTTTCTATCATTTTTCAGAACACACTTGGAATTTTCCTGTTGTCCATCCTACATATGTGTCCAAATAGTGCCAGTTTCCTTCTCATCATTGTCTCTATCAGGTATTCTTATATGTCCAACCTTTTTATTCTACATTGGTCACTCCACTAATCGAGCTTCGATGCAGTATCCTTCTGTAGCAATACATTTGAAGTGGCAATATTTGACAATATTTTTAGAGTTTCCAAGTCTCGCAGGCATATAAAATTGTACTGGACACGCATGTTCTGAAGATGTTCAGTTTGGTTTTGTAGCCGATTTTCTTGCTTTTCCAGATATTATAGAATTCTGCCATTACTTATTTTGCCTTTGCGATCCTCGATCTTATGTCTTTTGTGCAGTCCCATGTCAGCACGCTTCCCAAGTATACAGATTTCTTTACATTCACAATCTTTCTGCTTTCTATTATTACTTCTTTATCAATATCATCCCATCCGAACACCTTCGTCTTTGTCTTTTCCACATTCATCCTCAGGCCAGCATCCTTTTCTGACCTATTCAGTGTATGAACCCTTTCCTGCAGTGCGATGCAGCTTTCTACCATCAAATCTATGACGTCCGCGAATCTCAGGTTATTTATTCTTTCTCCTTGCACATATATTTCTGTGCTGTTGTCCTGAGTGGTATCGATCACTCTTTACAAGTACGTAATGAAGTTGTTTGGTGATAGTGGCTCTCCCTGTCTCATACCTATTGTTATTATGAGTCATTGTCCTATTTTATGTCTAAACTTTATTACTGTCTTTGACCTTTCATCTATATCCTGCATAATCTGTAAGTCTTTTCCTTACTCCATTTGATGTAAATTTTGCCCATGTTATATCTTGCTTAGTCGAATCCAATGCTTTCTGGAAATCGATTAAACAATTAAAAACCAGCCTATTCTTTCTCTTTGCTGTCTGGTATGAGCCGTAACATCTTTCCTAAACCCTGTCTATTCATCCACCAAATAGTCCTCAGTGTGTGCCTTTAATCAAGTAAATAGGAGCGTCATTAGTATCTTCCCCATGTGGCACATTAGTGCAATGGTTTTGCAATTTCTACAATTGGTGAGATCTCCTTTCTTGGGTATCGCCACAAATATGGATTTTGTACATTGCTCCAGTATTTTCCCTTCTCTCCATATTTGCTTGTACAGATCATGGATGTTTTTCATAAGTTCCTTACCACCAGATTTTATGGTTTCTTCACTTATGCCTTCTACTCCTGGACTTTTGCTTTCCTTAACGTTTTATTGCCTTTTCTACTTCTTTGTACAAGATGTTATATTTTTCGTCATTCCATAGTGGTGGGGGTATCCTTTCTTATTCATCCAGAAGCTCTTTATTATTTTGATCTGTCTCCATATTCAGATCACTGCAATACTCAGTCCATCTATTTTTTGTATCTTGTTTGTCCATCAGGATCTTACCGTTCTTGGCTTTTATCGCTGTTTGCCTTGGTTGCCATTTCCTATCTGTGCTCTTCACTAGTTTGTAGACCTCCCTGGTCTTGTATACTCCAGCGTAGGATTCACTGTCGCTAAATTACTTTTCCAGCCATTCCTGATTATCCTTTATTGCCGATGTCAACAAGGATGCGGACCTTGTTGACCCGGGTGACGTCTGAGCCGGTATCCTTCTTATGTGGTCGTCATGTGCATTGGATTACTTTAATCTTTTTCTTCATGGCTGAAGTATCAGCAACCTTTTGCCTGACCCTCCTGTTAATCCAGGCTTGGGGCAAGCTCAGATATCCAGTGGATTAGGCACCCACGGGGCAGAGTTTATTTGTATACACATGTTGTGTGGTGAACGACGACTCGGAGGTAGGTTTCCAGGTAAGGACTTGCGCCGGTTTATTAACACAAGGGAGCAATAACTGTACCAGAGGTAGGTTTCCCAATACTGGGTCCTTCACGCGGACCTCGGGCTCTATCTGCTGCTAGCCCAGCTATCTCTCGCTCTCTCACTCGAGTCTGAACAAGGGCTTAACCAACACCGCCCGACCGAGGAGAGCAGCGCCCCGCCTAACCCTAGCTGGCTCGTGCAGCCCTCTCCCAGCCTTATCCCTGGCTATCTCTTGAACCTCTCTCCTTCCCGGGCTCCCACAACAACCCCCTTTCGTCACGGGGCCCCCCTTAAGTACCCCCAGGTTGACATGACGTCCTCGCACCTCACCGCGCATATGACGTCACGTCTCCATACTACTCCTCTACACATATACTAGTATGCATTAGTATTTGAGTACACATACTAGTATTCATATTGTCATACATTTTATAATCATTGTGCATTAATTTCCTATTTGAATTATTGCATAATTACTATAATAGAAATTATTATACAGTACACAATGTGCATTTGTACACGGTAATTGTAATGCTTGTGTTGCTATCGTACACACATTGTTGTGACTGCATGCACGTGTCTTCACTGTCATTACCACAGATGGATGCTCACCAACTCTAGACACAAACTCAGCCCACAACGAACTCCAGATTTCCTCTGATCTCAGAACAGTGACATGGAGCGGTGTCTCCCAGGGTCGCCCCCATCACCCACACCGATTTGAAGTCTATCGACAAGCTCTGTGCTCCGAGAGCTTCTCGTCGGGTCAGCACTACTGGGAGGTGGACGTGGGGAGCAGTGCATGGTTGTGTCGGATTGCAGTCGCATACGGGACAATCCCACAGAGAGGAAGTGGTCCTGAGTACCTCCTAGGAGGGAGTGATGTCTCCTGGAGTCTACAGAAATATAACAACAGCTTATCAGTGTGGCATGGCGGGGTAGAGACCTTACTGTCAGTGCCAGAGCCTCCGCAGAGAGTCGGGGTGCATTTGGATTGGGATGCAGGACTCCTGTCATTTTACAGCATCGACTCCATGGTGCTGTTACACTCATTTTACCAAACCTTCACTCAACCCCTTTATCCTGGGCTGTACGTGTGGGGTAAAGTTGGTGACTCAGTGACGATTGTGGATCTGAGTCGTGAATCCTGAGAAAGATGAATGTGAACACCGTAGAGGTCTGATACAACACACGACAATCACACCATCATCACTTACACGCAGTGCTACATCTTGGTGGGCACAGTGGTTTGGAGTGCATGGCTTCGATTATAACGTAGGTGAGTGTAATTCCTCACAACCTTTTAGGGATCATAAAATAACTACCACTGTGGGTGTGAAGCCAACATCATTGTATTCTCCCTGCCAGTGGATTGTGTTTATAGTGTAGGGGTACAATGTTGAGCAATCGTTAAATGGAATGTGTTTATATAGTAGTGGTGTAATGGATAGGGGTACAATGATTCTCTACTATTGCAACTCAATTAACTGGTGAATGCAACAGCATCTAGTGGTTGGAATATAAAAATATTCTTACAGATGCATTGAGTCTGCGATTCTCTGTGTGAGTTTGTGTCTGTGTGTCAATGTATTGTCTGTGTGTGATATGGGCCTCTGTGTGTGTACAAAAACGTCATTATAATACTTGTATCATTGATTCCACATTAAACAATTTTCACGAATCTAACAATGTTTGTACATTGAAGTTCATTCGCACCGTACATAACCACTGCGCTTATCGAAGGTACGGTGGAAGGACAACAAACTAAATACAAAAAGCAGTTTGAAAAAAGTGAGATTTCAATCTCGATGTAAAAGTGCATAGCGCCAGTGACTTCCTCATATCAGAAGGAAGCGTGTTCCAGATGGACACAAGCACATCCAAAAACGCACGATGCAAATGTTGTATAAAGAGGCTTTTTCCAAAAATGTATATTAAGAATGAGTCTGCCTATTTTTTTGTTGTTGTAATAATTGATCGGGGTGTAGCGCGGGGGCGCGAAAAGGGGTTCCCTCCCCCCCTTTTGCCTCCTGCCTCTACCGGGCTTCAAAGGCCGCCACAAAGCACTTACAAACAGTAGGGGCCACGGATCTTCCCGAATGGTGAGAACAGGAGGGGCGATTGAACAGACAACTGTTTTTTGTTTATTTTAGTACAACGGTAAAAGTTCGAAGCTTGGCTATTAGAAAAAGTCGCCATTATAGACTGCACTCAGATTAAGAACCAGGCTACAATCTACATTAGTGGGTTATTATTTCTCGTATATTATTATATTAATATTATTCACCTTTATTTATTATTTTTCTTCTATCTACGCGACTTTACCGAAAGAACCAAATAATGAATAAGAAGCACGGATCCCTGGCGACACAGACGGAGAACAAGTTAATAAAACCCTTGGAATACCTGTGGTAACAACTATGGTAGATCACAAATCTTGTTTAAACATAAACCAAATAATACTTATGAAGTATTAGACTGAGGGTCATCCATAAGAAATACAATGCGAAACAGATAAATCACACACGACCAAGATAATATGTATTCCATAAAATCAGAGCCTCCCAACCTCCTTTGTCTTCCAGAAGTACGTGGTAGCAATAAATGACACATACAGGGAGGGCGCCTCCCCTTGAGATATCAAACACAATGAAGAAATTCCAAACCACGACGGAAGTACTGTAAACACTTACAAACAGCAGGGGCCACAGATCTTCAAAACATACCTTTGATCCACTTACAGAGTCAAAACCGCAAAAAGGGATACAAGACTAAGGTGAGGGGTGGAAAATAATATTTATTTTCTCTCAATTTACAACCCGTAAGAGTGAACGGAGAACATGGTAACAGGAGGTCATACTTCAAGAGACGGCACCCCTCTTTGTGAGAGACAAGAAAATGTAACACCGCCAACCGTGAGGGAAGAGGGAGGGATGCAACCGGACAAAAGGAACCCACCCCCTCCTTCCAGATTAATTATTGCAGAAAGTTTAAAAGCTAGAAAAACACACTTATGGGAAATTGAAAGCATCTGTTTCCACAGATGGCGAGATGGCTTGAGGAAGGAGACAGGAACCAGGCCTTGATGTGACTTAACAGACTACTTCAATACATGATAACGGACACACACACGTACATCGGACAAACAGTTGCTCCCACAGGCTGAGTGCGAAATCAAAGGAATTCCGGTCCTTTGTGAGAAGGGGAGCCGAGGTGGGGGAATTTCAGATATAAGCAAGAATACAGCACACACGTTTTAGTCTTGCTGCGGCAAGCTCCGGGGGTGGGCCCCGCAATCGACCAAGGACGGCGAGGCTTGCAGAGTAGTGATTTGTCACCGAGTGTGAGTTCAGCGCTGACAGACGAAGTATCGCTTAAAGTTTTATTTTACATTGAGTGCCAGCTCCCACCAGCAGCTGCAGTAGAAGAGAAAGGGAGAGAAAGAGTAACGAGCAATGACAAGCAAGCAACCTGGAGAAAGGGCGGAAAGCGCCAAGTATCGACCAAGCGAGCATCGCACAGGGCCAGCAGCGGCTAACGACTGCCCACGAGTGTGTGGACTCGGAAGCCGAGCACACTCCTGCAAAGGTCGCGTCTACAAGGATCAACCGTGCATAGTGCAAGGGAGAAAGTGTGACCGGCGCAACCTAGGAAGGGTGTCGGCACTGGCGACCAGCGGACGAGCTGCGAGTGCAATCGGGCGCCATCAAGGATGAGCGTTGTGCCGGCTCGGAATCATTCAGCAGTGGAGAAGAAAGCACGGAGAAAGAGAGATAGTCCGTGACCAGCGCGACCGAGGAAGGGTGTCGGCACTGGCGACCAGCGGACAAGCTGCGAGCGCAATCGGGCACCGTCAGGGACAAGCGTCGTGCCGACTCAGCTCATCCAGCAGCAGAGAGGCCTTTAGCTGCCGCCAAGAGATAGAGAGAGAGAGCGCCATGTGTATGACACGCCCACACATACACGACTCATCGCCCAGCAAGGAACCAAGGCATTTTGGGTACAATAAACGCCCCACCTCGGCGTCTGCTTAACGCAAAAAGTTGAGCAAGAAGACAATACACCCACACACACACATAACGCACATATCGGGACTGATAAGATTACTCCAAAGTTCTCCTTGTGTTTCGAACAGGGCCATCCTAAGGTGGTGCGTCAACTATTAGCTGATCATGAAAAGCATTGCTGCCCATTGAGTTACGTGGATATGGTCGTTTAGAAGTATTTTAGTCATTTTTGTTAACTGCATAACTGTACCAATGAATTAATTGATGAAACTAAACATTTATAATCATTTATGTTACGAATCTACACACTTACAGGGATACTATTGTGTTAAAATATTTATTTTGATCACAGAATCTTGCCCGCGAATGTATTGAAGCCTGAGCCAATTGAGAATCATTTCTTCGACAAGCAGGGACAGCTGCCGCACAGCATTGTTCCAAGACATTTCGTTAATTGAATAATCTTACCAATGAATTAATTGAGGTCTACTTTTGCCTTAGGCACATGCTTATTTATTACTGTTAATATGAATATTGTCACATTAATTTTAAGGACTTTTTCCTATCGCCGTGTATGGTCACTTTACTCTGAGGAATTAGCCGAATGTTCTATTACCCAGTTTAACAAATGTGACCATTGAGGGCTAAATGTACGGATCAATGAGGAAAACATCTCCAGGAGTACTGTGTTGACATTCCTAGCACAAGAGGTGGCATATTAGAATGTTATGTTTTTTTAGATATTAAAGTTGCTTAACACAGAAGAGTCTGAGTGGTGCCTTCCTAAGTTCATGCATAATAATCTTAATTATAAGAACTGTTTCCTGCGGTGAGATCTGAATTTTGAGACCTGACATAAACACACTAAAACATAATCAGTAAAAGTTAAAGCGAGAATCATTGTATTATCCTGATTGATAATACAACCCTAGACAACGAAGCCGAGCCTAATTAGCACAATTACATACACTTGCATAACTTCATACGATTACACCTTCATTGTGTAGGGGCGTGTATGGGCTATGTGTAGCGACGTAAACGGACTGTGTACACTTACGTGTAGGGGCTGACACAGTCGAGCAGGGGCAGTCGCAATATCTCTAGCCCCAGAGCAGGAGGGGGCTGTGGGGTGTTCTGGGATCTCCCGCGACCCCATCCCTCGGTTGGGAGGTGTATAAAAGCCCGACCTCTCTACAGGCTCGGGGCCAGTCAAAGGCAGAAGCAAGAAGACCGGTCAGATAGGACCCTGGGATCGCTAGTCCCGCTGCCCTTGTCAGGGCCGGGACTCTGTGTGGCTCAGTGGTGAGACCCTGGGAACCCCCGGCCAAACGTCCTTGAAAGGGCCGGGTCTGAGCGGGCCAGTGGTTGGAACCCGCACCCTATCTAAGTCGGGTTAGATTAGCCACTGCACAAATGATGGATACAACTATTACATTATGAACATGGTCTTGTGGATTGTTCTCCAGGTCCTCCTTCGGTTTTGCCCTCTTCCATGTTTAGAATCAAAACGCGTTTATAATCATTGGGGAATGGAGGGGGCGAACGGGAATAATTATTTCGGAAGGATTGATACGAAGAACGTGCTGAGAGATCCAAGATTGGATGGCAATCGGGCAACTGTAAATGTTGCTCTGGAGCCTCGGGTCCAGAAGCTGACATGAACACAGACACTGACCTTGCAGAGCCAGTGTCCTGTGAGTTCAAGCACCATTGCAAATCTGAAGCTGAAAGACTTTTGCTTGATTTAATAATAGATATTTACTGTACCAGTTTAAACAATCTGATTAGTACTCGGCTAGATCACTTGGTTGATGTCCCACATAACAAATCGACCTGTGTTGCGCAGTTACTGATTTCCCACCAAGTGGCCCTTGTTGTATTGACTACTAGCTGGAAGTACCCGGCATTGCCCGGGTCTTAAAAATATTTCAAAACTACTATTAAAATCTAACAGCAGTGCGTACTAACTGTAGTGGTATCGTTGCACAACTCATCCACTCCTCAAAGTAAGATTTTTTTAAATTATAGGTTAAGGTAAATCATTTTTTTAAATGCTGCTTAAGATTCTGTGCTCTTTTCCACTAATTTTTTTTTCTGTTTGAGTCATTGCTTAAACATTTCACATACGTTTTCTATTAAAAAAGGTAAAATGCTTTAAAGTGTACAGGGCTGCTTCGCAATGCTCGGTAAATGGTGTTCAATTAAATGTTTGATAAGTGTAAATGATGTTTAAAGGTTCTTGAACTCAGAATTGGTTAGAAATGTGTACATTTTGTTGTACGCTGTAGTACATGTACAGTACATGCATAGTACCTGGATTTGTCCCATGTAATCTAGGTATTTTGGTTGCTAGTTACGAAACACAACATTTCCATAAGTTATGATCCCTTCCCTACCTTATTCCATTGTTTTTGTTACGGGAAAAATTGCTCTGCTTTGCATCGCATAGGTCCCTACCCTCCCTTCTGCCATTTGCAT